CCTATACCTTCCGTCAGTAGGATGTTTCTTAACAATCTCACTGAGTCAATGTACTTTTTAAATTAATTCTTTCTGCCCCAATCCCAAAAGAGATGCTATTTCCCCCAGCAGTTATCCTTTCACTCTTACAGGCCCGCTTCACATCGTTTATTCAGGATCTAATCCGAGACAGATCCCAGCCTGCCTCCTTTAACGTAGATAACATCCTTGAATGAGTGACTGAGTTAGCCTGGCAGGGCGTCCTCTGTGATTACACCCCCTACGAATTTGCCCTGTACTCCTTTTTTCTATTATGTGTTCCCTCAGCCCCCCTGCCCTATTTTTCCTCCTTCTGTTTATGCGGCTCTCACTATTAACACAGGTATGTGCTTCACCATGCACACAGTGCATTTCCCAGGTCAGAATCTTCGGGTCGGGATGGACGATCAGCACGCAGGCATTGGCTAGACTTGGGCATGGGACTGTCAAAACTATTACACATCTTCCGGCCCCCTGCTATGATAGGTCCACAGCCACATCATGTTTCCATGAGAAAATAAACTACTGGATGGTTCTTTCCAAGGGGGATTCTGCTGGAGCCCAGTGCCCTCCAAGAGGCAAATATGTGTGCTTCACTAAAACCACACACCTAAGTTATAAGTGATGGGGGAGGGCTCCAGGATGAAACACGTCGAAAACAAATTAAACAAGTCATTAAAAGTCTTAGTCCAACCCAGTCAAGCCAACGTCCTCTCCGGCTCCCTCGACCCCAACGTCCATCTCAAATAGACCCCAAAGTTATACAGCTCCTCAATGCCACCCACCATTTGCTTAATTATACGTCCCCCTCATTAGCAGGGAGTGCTGGCTCTGCCTGAGATTGACCCTTCCCCAATACCAGGCTACACCCCTGTCTAACTTCAATCTGTCTAATTGACCTACAGACAATCATACATCAGTCCTCTTGGGGGGTGGGGGGGTGGCCACCCACATCACTTTAACTCAGCCAGCAGGGTATTGTCTAACAAATTTTACTGGCAATATAGAAGTGGGCAATCTCACAGTAAAAGATTGCAACCAAATCATTCCAAGGGAAAACATAAACATCATCTGTAGCTCCTGGAAGGGGGTCTACTTAGTTTGTGGGCCATTTTCATACCAATGCCTTCCACAGAACTGGATGGGAACTTGTGCCTTAGCAAGTTTAACACCCCCAATTAACATTGTCCCTGGCAACCAAATTTTAGAAATCCCTCTGGTGGCTCATACTTGGATGAAACGAGCTATTCAGGTTATTCCCCTGCTCCTCGGGCTCGGCATAGTGGCAGGAGTGGGAACAGGAGTGGGAGGCATGGCTACCTCAACAACTTACTATCATAAAGTAACCCAAGAGCTGGCTGATGGAATTGAACAGGTAGCCCAAACTATGATAGCCCTCCAAGACCAATTAGATTCCCTAGCAGAAGTTGTCTTACACAACAGGTGAGGACTAGACATGTTAACAGCAGAGAAAGGAGGTCTGTCTATTCTTAGGAGAAGAATGCTGCTTTTATAATAATAAATCTGGCATCATTAGAAATATGGCCCAACAACTCTGTGACCAAATGGCAAAAAAGAGACAGCCTGCCACTGATTCTTGAGAAGGGTAGAGCAAGCTATGGAAATGGACTCCTTGGCTGATGCCCCTACTGGGACCCCTTACCATGCTGGGACTTCTCCTGCTGTTTAGCTCCTGTCTTTTCTGGTGTCTTTCCAATTTTTTGCAGGACCATATGCAAGCTTTTGCCAACCAAAAGGTAAACGAACTGTTCATGGAACATAAATATCAACCTCTCCTTTAGAAGATCTCACCCTACGACAGGATGATGGCATTTTTGCGTGACCAGATTTTTACTCCTCACCCACTCTCAGCAGGAAGTAGCTTCAGAAGAATGAGACTTTCACCTCTTTTCCCTATACTTAAAATGCAGGAATGATAGACCCTGGACGTGGCCGGCGCCATCTTTGATGTGGTTGCGCCACTGACATCATCACAGATGTGACCAGTGCCATCTTGGACGCAGTCACATCACCTTGGATATGACTCATGTCATCATGGACGTGACTGGTGCCATATTGAGTACAAAATGGCCGCTAGTCTTTTACCCTACCTCATGGTTTCTTCAAACAAAGAAAAACCTCTACCTCATGGTTTTCCAGACAAAGGACCCTTCCCCTCCCGCCTAGAGGTACCTCCCATCTCGACTACGTCACCCCTACCCACCACACCCACATCAATAGTTGACCTGATCCCACACACCAGCACTCCCATCCCCCTCCCCGCCTGCGTTTTTTGCACCCATCAACCCATATAAGCATATGTACTCCTCCTAGCTGCCTGCCTCCACCATTTTGAGTGCAGCCCGGCAGGTTTTTCCTCCTTTAATAAAGCCTGAATAGTACCCAGTGTTTTGGCTCTTTTTCTTTCAAGTACTGGCAGTTCCAAATAGTGCAATAAGCAAGAGAAGGCAATAAAAGGTATATAAACCAGAAATGAAGGTTAAATTGTCTCTATTTGCAGATGACATGATTGTCTGCATAGAAAATGTCAAGAATTCCACAAAACAAAAGAAAATTTTGAAAAACTCCTAGAACTAATAAGTGAATTCAGCAAAGTCTCAGGATACAAGACCAATATACAAAAAAATCCACTGTATTTCCCTATGCTAGCAATGAACACATGGATGAGAAAATTAGGAATACAATACCACTTGCAATCACTTCCAAAAAGTGAAATAACTGGATATTTCTACATCCACATTTATTTCCACATCTAAGAAGATATGCACAGAACTTCTATGATGAAATCTAGAAAAATTGAGGAAAGAAATCTACAGAGGTCATGGATTAGAATACTTAATATAGTTAACATGTGAATTCTACCCAAACTGATCTCTAGACTTAATGTGTTCCAATAAAAATTCCCACCACAATTTTTTTATAGATCTATTCAAAGCAAAAGAATTAGAATAGCCAAAACAATTCTGAAAAAGAATAATAAAGGATTCATATTACCTAATTTTAAGACTTACTATAAAGCTACAGTAATCAAGACACTGTGGTACTGACAAAGGGATAATCAATGAAACAGTAGAACAGAATCGAAAATCTAGAAACAAACCCACATAAACATGTCCGATTGATTTTGGACAAATGTACAGAGGTATGTCAATGGTGAAAGGACAGTCTTTTCAACAAATAATGTTAGAACAATGAGACATCTAAATGCAAACAATGACACCTGATCTAAACTTCACATTGTACACAAAAAATTAACTCAAAACAAGAGAAACTGAAAACAGGAGAAAACTTTCATGACCTGTGCTTAGGCAAAGAGTTTGTAGACATGATTCCAAAAGCATGAACCGGAAAAGAAAAAAATTATAAACTAAACTTCATTGAAATTGAAAACTTGTGATGAATGAGAAAGTTAAGACATTAAAAAAATGAAAAAGCAAGCTACAGATTGGGAGAAAAAAATCTGCATACCACATATCCATGAAAGGGCTAGCATCTAGCATATATAAAGAATTCTCAAAACTCAACAGTAAGATAATAAACAACCCAGTAAAAAATGGACAAAAGACTTAAGTAGACACCTAGCCGAAGAGGACATATGTATGGCAAGTAAGCACATGAAAAGATGTTAACATCATTAGCCACTAAAGAAATGCAAAACTGAAACATAATGAAATACTAATACACACCTATTAGAATGGCTTAAAAACAAACAAAACCTGACAATGCCAAGTGCTGATGAGGATATGGAACATCTGGAACTCTCATGCACTGCTAGTGTGAATGCAAAATGGTACAGCTACTATGGAAAACAGGTTGGCAGTTTCTTACAAAGTTAAACATATGGTTACGATGTGACCCATTTCTTAGGTATTTACCCTAAAAAAATGAAAACTTATACGAGGGTACTTTAAACAGTTCATAAAAGTAAAAGGTAATAGAAATCTTTCCATGAACTTTTTGAAATACCCTCTTATTAACACAAAAACCTATACACTAATATTTACAGCAGCTCTAGTCATAATCATCAAAACTGGAAACAACCTAAATGCACTTAAATGAGTGACTGGATAAGCAAATTGTGGTGCATCTACACAAAGGCATACTGGTCAGCAACAAGAAGGAACGAACTATTGATACAGGCAAAAACATGATGACTCTCCAAGCCATTATACTACGTGAATTAAGCCAGTCTCAAAAGGTTCTATACCGCCCAATTCCATTGATATGACATTCTGGAAAAGGCAAAACGAGAGTGATGGAGAACATATTTATGGTTGCCAGGGATTAGGAGTAGGAGGAGAGCATGACTATAAAGGAGCAGCACAAAGGAGTTTAGAATCGTAATTGTGGGGCTGAGCCCGTGGCGCACTCGGGAGAGTGCGGCACTGGGAGCGCAGTAGCGCTCCCGCCGCGGGTTCGGATCCTATATAGGGATGACCAGTGCGCTCACTGGCTGAGCGCGGTCCAGCAGGTCTCAAAAAAAGGACCAAAAAAAAAAAAAAAAAAGAATCGTAATTGTGGAGGCAGTCACACCACATGTATGAAAAATTGAACTGTACACACACACACACACACACACACACACACAGAGTCAATTTTATTGTATGTTAAAAAAAATTTTTTTTTAAAGTTGTTGGTATGCAGTGATGAAATTGCCTTTCCCCCCACGATTTCTCTAGTGAATATCTCATCCTCAAGACACAGATTCAATGCCAGCTCTCTGTGAAGTCTTCCCCCTCTCTAATCTTATGCTTATCTTTCTTTTCCTACTAGGCCCTGTCCTCAGAAAATTCAAGTTGATCCCCAACTACATTACAAGCAAGTAAACAAATATACAAGTATACTGAGTATATAGGACATACACTAAACATTTGTTACTGTTTATTTTTGAATTGCTAATGCTCAAATGGCAAATAATTAGTATATTAGTACTGCATTATTCATCGTATTCAATCACTCACCTAACATATGTGAGATCAAATCTAATAGGCAGTTGGAAGTCCAGCTGAATTGTAGCACATTGATGGTATCTGCCAATAGCATCCTTGATTTTTATATCAATCTGTAAATTAAATGTTTCTTTAGAGACAGTTTTTATCTTTCTTTTAAATTTTACTCTTTTTCTGAAGCACAGGGTCTACATACTTTAGGGCCGTAAAATGCTCCATCCCCTGGGTTCACTTTCCATGGTTCTCCAAATTCCAGCAAGCTATTCTGTAGTTGCTATTTAAAAAAAAAAAAAGAAGAAGAAGAAGAGAACATTTAAAACGTCTACTTTATTGTATATTTATCTTTTTTTGACATATGGCTCACAAAAGTAAGTTACTGTAAATCTTACATTCTGTATTAGTTCAACATATATTTACTGAGCATCTTTTATATTCAATAAACTATTCAGCAGGGACCACATGAGGGTGATCAAGGTGGTATTTGCTCTCAGGAGACATACACATTTCAATTGGGAAAAAAAAGATAATTTACTAAACTGTTCCAGCGCACTCCAGGGAAGCATTTAGGACAGGCATGCTTGGGCCCTCCTGCCCTATACACTAACCAGCTTCCACTCCTGGTGAGAGTTCCCAGACCCATTCTTCTAGTAGGTGGCACCTCCACACATGAAAAGGCATGAAAGCCTTGACCTCACTCCCTCTTCTGCTCTGTTTGGGCGGGAAGGTCAACCCAGCAGGCCTTGCCACTTCTCTTTTGCTTTTCCTCACCTCTATGCCTGTAGCAAGAAGGTGGGTCTCTTATGATTTATAGGGGTGTGGAAGCAGAAGGCCCCACTCTGGTCTTCAGCCTAAGCCACTATATGCTTTCAACTTAGTGAAGATGCTTGGAACTGAAGTCAGATGAGTGGGTGTCCATTTACATATTAATAAAATGGCTCTTTGAGTCTTCTGGTATTCCTGTGAATACAGCTTCCTTGGGAAGCACTTGGGCATTCCTAAGTCCTTGGCCAGAACACTCAAAATATCACCCAAACTCCCATCATCACCCCAACCGCTTGATACCCAGGAGGTGCTGACATTTGGGAGTGGAGTGCCTCATTGGGAAATCAAAGCAGTGGAGATGTTTTGGGGCCAAAGCTGGAGTTATCAAGAAGCTGACTCCTGGAGTCATGCTAGGCTTTCCCAGGATCTCAATCAGGACCTGGTCTTCAGAGACAGAGAGTTCATTCTTGAGATCCCAAGAGTGTCCCTTGTGAGCCTAATACAACGGCACAGCTTCCTTTCTACTCAGGACCAGAGAAGGGCACCTCCACAGAGGCACTTCACTGGCTTGGGAGGCCCCTCTCCTGTTCTGCTCTGTTTCTGAAAGGAGAATAGGCAGTTGGTACCTGCTCCCAGAGGAAAGAAGGCCCTGCTACAGCAGGTAACTAAGCGACGGGAAAAATCTGGGTGCTCCCAGGGAATTAAAAAGCCAAAGAAAGGCCAAGTTTTGGAGAAGAACATACAGCAGAGGCCATGCTTCTCACTGGGCCTCTGAGGACACAGAGACTGGAAGCCCAGTAGAAGCAGCCGAAGCTAAGAAAGCTTTAGATCTAGCAAGGTAGTCTCTTTTAAACCACTTCGGGCTGGCTGGTTAGCTCAGTTTGTTAGAGAGCTGCCTTGTAACAAAGTTCCCCTTACAGGGCAGCCACCAAAAAATAAACAAACAAACCATTTCAGAGACCTCTAAAAACAAAAAAACTCAAATGCTCATCTCACTAATTCCCAGATCAGGGGTAGTGACTATGAGAGAAATCCCCCTAAAGTGGAAGCAGGCCCATCCCTTAATGTAACAGTCACATCCCTGGGTGACCCTGGACATGGCTGCTATTTAGCCATATCAGTTAAAAAATGGCAAAACCAGTAGGACTTCCAGCCCATTCTCCCCATACCAGGCCCACACCTGGCCCACCTAATTTTTAGCTCCCCATAGCCCATGAAGTTCCTAATGAATGGAATGATTATGATGGTGATAATGATGATAACACCAACACCTAACATCTACTGGCACTTCCGTGTGCCTGGCAGTACGCCCAACGCTTCATGTAAATTACTTCACTTAAGCGCACCATAACCTTATAAAGTAGGTGTTACCACTATTATCACCATCGTCACCATCATCACCATTTCATGTGTGATTCTGATGCTTAGAGATCTTCTGAAATTCACTCATGGAACTAACGTCTGAAAGTAGGCATGTGGCTCCAGAGCTGAGCTTTGTGTCTTCTTTTCCTCTTCCTGCTTCCGTGTGACTGGCAGGTAAATTGAGTCAGCACCTTTCCTGGGGTAGGCTATCTCATTTGACCCTCTTCCTCCATACAGTGGACATGGAAGAATTTAGGATGGATATGTGGCAGTGGGGAGGACAAGGCCCTCTTTAGACTGCAAGCCTAAACTGCTTCTATGCAGCCTCTGCCTGGCCTCTGTGCCTGTTAATAACATGAAAATAACTGTTACACTATTAACCCAGTGTTTCTGTGACTCTTATTCCTGTGATGTGTTTGTTCAGCTCCCATGAGTATTCCAGGAAGAGGAGGACAGGGCAAGGCAGGGTGTCTGGCCATGACGCCATCCTCATCTCTAATAAAAATTAACACAGGAGAAACCCTCTACCCTTTTCATGCTTACTGAGGAAAAAAGCAGCATGATGAGCTCCTCAACCTTGGTTTTTCAAAAATGAGATGTGACATCTGAGTCTGGTTGTCTTTAGACAGAGGGAGGGCACTACAGGCCATGACTGTGAGGGGACTCGAGCATCGGGTGTGTGCCTCTACATCTAGACCATGCAACCCTGGGACTGTGGGAGTCGCACTAAGGTGACTCAATAGGCAACAGTTCAAAATAAGCCATACAAACCAAGTGTCACTGCAAATTGGAGGATTTCTTTAAAAACTTATGCCAGTTATTAAGTGACCAGCACTAAAAAAGAGTAAAAATGAAAACCTGACATGAGCTTTAATTAAAGTATTAAACAGATGTAACATTATCATTGTCATTGTCACAAAGAAAGCTGATAATTGCCTTCTACAATCTGCATATTTATCCCATAACTTCCATTTTAAAATTTCTATTATGAAGTGCCACATCCTCCTGCAGGGGAGTACAGTCTCTCAGGTGCTTCCTGCATTCTCAAAAACGACGGGGAGCGCTTTGTTTCCCCTTACCTTTTCAGCCTCATCCCACATCTCAACCTCTCCTAGGAAGTCTTCAGGCCTTGTTGACAGGTTTAATTGGAAGGAGAAGCCAAATGTCGAGTAAACAGACTGCAAAAACTGCAAACACCCCTTTATTTCTTCTTCAATCTGAAATGAGAGCAAATGAAATAATCAAATAGAACACCAAATTAAATTCATTAATGGCCTTCTTAAAAATAAAAGTTATTCACATCAGATGGGAACAAAGCATGTTTTTAATAGAGTACAGCCAATGGCACTGGTTGCTTATCCACTTGCTTCTTGAATCTTCGATTGAGAGCAGGCCTGCACAGGCTGCCAGAGGCCCCAGCCGGTGCAGGAGATGGAGAAAGAAGCAGGCAAGGGCAGCACATCACGGGGCAGCACATCGCGGGGCAGCAGGGGAAGAAGGGCAAAGAGGAGCTGCCCAGAGGAAGCGTGAGCCCAGCCATAGCCAGAGGATACGAGTTCTCCAGAGACAGGTGGCGCAGGCTCTCTCTGAGCAGAAGAAACACAGAGGGTGAAGGCCCAGAGGTCAGAGAAGCAAAGTCAGTGAGCTGCATGTGACAGGGAAGCTCTCTTCACCAGTGTGGGCGGCACCATCCAATCTGCTGAGGGCCCAAATAGAAAAAGGCAGAGGAAGGGCGAATCTCTCTTCTTAAGCTAGGACCACATCTTCTACCGCCCTCAGACATCGCAGATCCTGGTTCTCAGGCCCTCCAACTCTGGGACTTAACACCAGCCCCCACCCCCTTGCCCCAACCCCAGTTCTCAGGCCTTTGGCCTCACACTGGGAGCTACCCATTGGCTTTCCTGGTTATCCAGCTTGCAGATAACATGTCGTGGGACTTTTTAGTCTCCATGATCGTGTGAGCCAATTCCCATGATAAGTCTCCTCTTATATATCTATATATATCCTATCGGTTCAGCTTCTCTGTAGAACCCTAATAATATAAACGGTTAGTAACTGGGAATTCAGGAACAAATAAAATTATTCAGGAAATACAGTAACTATGTTTAGGGAAAGCAATCAATAGGGCTTATAGATTTTCCTGTTATCATTCTGCTCTTGAGTTCTACTTTAATTCCATTGCAGTTAGAGAAAACATTCTGTATGATTTCAATTCTTTTAAATTTGTTGAGATTTTTTAATGGCCCAAGCTATGATCCATCTTGTTATATATGTTACATGGTCACTTGTATTAGTCCATTTCTGTTAACTTATAACAAAATATTTGGAACTGGGTGATTATTAAAAAACAAAATTTATTGCTTATAGTTTCTGAGGCTGGGACGTCTGAAGTCCAGGGAACACAGCTGGTGAAGGTCTTGGTGGTGGCAACAGTGACCCAGGGGTCTCATGTGGCAGAAAATGGTGGTGCAGAGAGAAACTAATCTCTCATGTGCTCTTCTTTCAAAGCCCTCAGAACCAAGCCCCTGACCACCATTATTAATACATTCACTAGGGCATGGTCCTAGAATTTGATCACCTATTCAAGGCCCCACCTTTCAATTACTATAATAGGATTTCCTACCCTCAACAGTTACGGCAGGAATTAAGCCTCAATGAGGTGGGGGTAGCGGGGCATCCAATCTATAGCACCACTTAAACAGAAGTGTACTTTGCTGTTGTTGGGTGTTCTATAGATGTCAATGAGATTATACCGGTTGATGGTGGTGTTGATTTCTTCTATATCCTTGCTGATTTTCTGTCTAGCTGTTCAATCAATTGTTGAAAGAAGTGTTGAAGTTTCCAACTATAATTGTGGATTTGACTATTTCTCCTTTGAGTTCATAAATTCTTGCTTCAGGTATTTTGTGGTTCTGTTGCACGGTGCACACACATTTAGGATAGCTATGTCTTTGTGGTGGATTGACTCTTTAATCATTATGTAATATCCCTCTGTCTCTGGTAATTTTCTCTGAAATCTACTTTATCTGATACTAATATAGCAGCTCTTCCTTTCCTTTGATTAATGTTGACATAATATATCTATTCCATCCTTTCAATGTGCCTTTAGTGTTACATTTAAAGTGTGTTTCTTGTAGACAACATTGGTGGGTCACGTTTTTAAATCCACTGTCAATCTCTGTTCTTTAATTGGTTCATTTAGACCCTTTACATTTAAGGTAATATGTTATGGTTTTAGCCTATCTTTTCTTTGTTTCCTTCTTCTCTCTTGCTATTTGTTTCTCTATTTTCTTTTTCCTCTTTCTGTGGTTTAACATTTTTTAGAATTCTTATTATAGGCTATTTTTAGTGTTATCTCTTTAGTGGTTTCTCTAGGTATCACATAACTTATCACAGTCTACTGATATCATTTTATCAGCTCAAGTAAAGTGTAGAAACTTTACCTCCCTTTACCTGTCTCCATTTGTAGTATAATTTTCTTAAGCATTTCCTTTATATACATTTAGAACCACACACACAGTGTTAAAGATAATTTAGAAAACTGAAAAGGAAAAGAAAAATGTAATGACCTGTTTCTCACAATTTTCAACTTTCACAATTTTTTTCTTCCTAATATTCTAAGACTCCTCTTATCATTTCCTTTCTGTTTAGGGAACTTCCTATAGCCATTCTTTTCAGGTAGCTCTAATGTCTTGAACTCCCCTTCATTTCTGAAGGACATTTCCTCTAGATAAAGAATTCTGAGTTGACAGTTCCTTTTCTTTCAGCTCTTGAATAATGTTGTGCTACTTCTTCTAGCCTCAATGTTTTGTTTTGTTTAAATGAAAAGTCTGCTGTCATTCAAATTGTTTTTTTTTTTTTTTTAAAGGTAATATATATCATTTCTCTCTCACTGCTTTCAAAGTTTTTCTTGTCTTTAGTTTTCAGGAGTTTGACTATGATGTATCTTGGTGTGAATTTTTGTAAATTTATGTTGTTTGGAGTTTGCTCATCTTTTTGAATCTGAAGGTTTATGTCTTTTAGCAAATGTAGCAAGTTTTCAACTATTACTTCTTTGAATACTTTTTCACTCTCACCCTTATCTTCCTCTCCTTCCAGAACTGTGATGACATAAATGTGAGTTATTTTGTTATAGTCCCACTGGTCTCTGGGGCTCTGATTATTTTTCTTTTATTCAGTTTTCTCTGTTTTTCAGATTGGATAATTTCTGTTCTTGTCTTCAAGTTCACTTATTCTTTCCTCTGTCTCCTCCACTCTGCTCATAAATTCATTCACTGAATATTTGATTTCAGTTGTTTTATTTTTCAATTCTAAAATTTCCATTTGATTCTTCTTTATATCTTCTATTTCTTTCCTAATATTTTCTCTTTCTTTTCTGAGGCTTTGTATTTTTTAATTTGTTTCAACTATGTTCAGAATTGCTTATTAAAGTATTTTTATGATAGCTGCTTTAAAATCTGTCAGATAATTCTAACATCTCTGTAGTCTCAATGTTGGTGTTCATAGATTGTCTTTTTTCATTCAAGTTGAGATTTTCCCAGTTCTTGGCATAAAGAGTGACTTTCCATTTCTGAATCCTGGGCATTCTGGGCATTATGTTACAAGACTTCTGCTTTACCTGGCTTTCACTGACACTGCTCCAGCAGGGGGAGGATAGTACTGCCTGGTTACTGCCAAGTGGGTACAGAAATCCAGGTTTCCTGTTGAGGTCCCCCAAGTGGGGAGGAGCTCCTCATTACTGCTGGGTGGCCTGGGAATTCTAGCTCCGTGCATGGCCTTTACTGACCACAGAGTGCATGTCCTCATAACAACTGGGCATTGATAAAAACTCTCCTCTTCCCACTAGACCTCCTCTGACACTACTCAAGCAGGAGCAGAAGAGGCATCTTTTTACTGCCAGGGGAGGATAAAAGTCCAGGCACCCCACATGGTAGTCACTGACATTGCCAGGTTTGGGGAGGGGTGCGGGATCTTTTAATGCAGATGTGAAAGTCCCAGCTCCCTAATCAGCCTTCTTAGCAAGCAGCTGGGGTACCTCTTTACAGCCTGATGAGAGTGGAAATATAGACTCCCAATCAACCTTCACTGGCATGGATGGGACCACAGCTTATTCTATGCTGTTTAGCTGGAATACGGCAGCCATTGCCTAAAAGTTTTATCTTGCCAGGCTGCCTCTTTCCTGGTCCTTTGGCTAGAACACGTAGGCTGTTGTTGGCTTTTTCTATTCTTTTTGTTTTTGCTTTTGTTTTTTTGTCTGTGTCTGTTGGCATTTCTTGGTTACCAGCTTTTTCAGCTCCATGTCTGGGATATATGACAGAGAGAAAACCCAAGGAACTCTTATGTTGTTTCTTTGTTTCTAATGTCCACAACCAGTGTGCCTTTTTCTTACCACCTTTCAGAGTCTCAGGTTTGTTTCACATACATTGTCCAAGATTTTTACTTGCACTCAGTAGGAAGATTAGGAAAATACATCTACTTCATCTTCCCAAAAGCAGGTCTTTTTTGCTCATTGTTTGAGTTATCTGTTTTCTTATTATTGAGGTTTGAAAGTTCCTTAAATATTCTGGATGTAAGTCCTTTATTAGACATATGCCTTACAAATATTTTCTCCCAGACTATGGTTTGTTGTTTTCATTCTCTTAACAGTAACTTTTGAAGAGAACTTTTAAATTCTGATGAATCCACTTATTATAGATTGAATTGTGTCCTTCCCCTCCCCCCACAAAGTTTAATGTATTGAAGCTTAGTCCCCAACTGTTGAGGGTGGGAAATCCTATTATGGAAATTGAAAGGTGGAGCCTTGAAGAGGTGATGAGATCATGAGGACCATGCCTGGTAAATGGATTAGTAATGGTGGCCATGGGTGTGGTTCTGAGGGCTTTCCAAGGAAGAGTGAGAAGTTAGCATATGGTCCTTGTGTTTGATTTTATTAATATGATGTATCACATTTATTGATTTGCATATGTTGAACCAGCCTTGCATCCCTGAGATGAATCCCACTTGATCGTGGTGAATAATTTTACGTATGTGTTGCTGTATTCTGTTTGCTAGTATTTTAGTGAGGATTTTTGCATCTATATTCATCAAGGATATTGGCTTGTAGTTTTCTTTTTTGTTTATATCTTTACCTGGTTTTGGTATCAGGATGATGTTTGCTTCATAAAATGAGTTTGGGAGATTTACGTCTGTTTCAATCTTTTGGAATAGTTTGTAAAGA